CAAAATCTACGTTTCTGATTTGATTCACGTCATACAGATCTCATAGTTACTAAATGTATTTTAAAAATTATTCCAGGAATCAATTTATTTCCCAGACGAAGGGAAGGCAGTACTAGATTTTAAGCGTATATTACTGGAACGCGTAAGTTGACCCCAACACCCTGGGCTGTCCGTGCCATCACAAATCTCTCTCGACGCATCCGCCGAATCCAGGAAAACAGTCGACTTCCCATTTGCCAGGACCACAATAACGTCCCTCGTCATCGCTTGAAGTCACAAGCCCTTTTTTGGACCCATGCACTTAACCTCTAAAGATGCGAGTTTAACCCCGATGAAGTTTGGAGAGCTAAATGGAGTTCAAAATAACTCACAAACACCTTGTTGTGAAAAAATCCCTGAAGTCACGTAGGTAAAAAAATGTATAATAATTATAAAATAATAATAAATGAAAATAACAGTAAATTTAGCTGTGACGGTCCCACCTGAAGACGGAGACTTGTGTTGCCTCCGAAACGTCGTGATTTAATTGAGTTATTTTCATTTATTATTATTTTATTTTATTATTATTATTTTTCCTTCATGACTTTACCGAAAAAACGTAAGAGTATGAATCCTTGCAGTCACGAAAGCTTCAAATCTAGAAGAAAATCCCTGGTTTTGATCTTCTACAAAGCTCATGGTCCACCCTAAATGGCATCCATACAAACCAAGGCCGATGCGGATGCCTGATGCACAAATGGAAAATTAAAAACTCTCCAGTGTGCGACTGCGGTCATCCAGAACAAACCGTACGTGTGGTGACGCGATGCCCGATCCACGAGTACGCAGGAGACATCGCCGCGATACACTCCGCCGCTCCTGACGAGGTTATCCGGCTCGACCACTTGGATGCGAAACTGTTGCTCGGCATCTACGTCAGCCAATTGGAGAGGAGGAGGAGCGTGTATATCAAAACTGATCCGTCAAACATTTGGCAACAAAAATGGCTCATTACACAGCTACATTAAGTTTACAATATGTAATTAAACACACAATCATGACCTTGTAATACAAAAAAAAGATCTCCCATTTAGACTGTTAGGCAAGTGCTATTAACACGCATGAATGATGGGCCGCACGGCACATGAGGGGATGGGTGGACAACACTTTGTATGGCCGCCTTTGTCTCCCCAGTGCCGATATTGCCACACCACACAAGGCACTCAATTACAGCTGAGTTGATCTCAGGAGAGGCCCAGGACCGGTTCAGATAATCGTCACTGGTGTTGGCCGTGAGCATCGAACTGGTGTCGCTAGGTTTGTAGAACATCGAGTTAACCACTGCAACTCCGCTCCCCCTCATCTTGTAATAGCGCACACACTAAAACACCTCAACTGGGCATTAAGACGCACCCAATGCAAGTTTTCCAAATCTGCTCACCCAACAACAGCTGCCATTCACCACTACGTGGCAGTATTGTCACCACAGCACTTGTGCAAGGCTCGGTGCACTTTGAAGCCACGCGAAGTGCCGAAGGCCCACTGACAGGTCACAGAACAGACCCAGGTGTTGTGGGTTAACTGACTGAGATGACTGGCAGATGCACCACCCGTGCTCCACACTGTGCCAACTCGCTGAGTTTTAGCCACCTGAAGAGCCTCTCATTGTTGTGAGTGTTGCTTCTCTGCCCTCCACTGTTGTTTGAGGGCGAATGCCTCCAACTGCCCAGTCGGATCCTTCACGAGCCTCCTCCCCACACACACACTCACCTACTGGAGCACGGTTCTGCCCGCCCTTCTAGTGTGCCTGTGGTTTCCTACACCTCCGAATCATTCTATTTTTAGTGAGATGAAAACCAAACGCATGACACAATTCAATATTCAATTAGAAGATGCACCCCCAACTTGTCTGTTTAAAAGCACAGGGGAAGAAAAGCACGTCTAATAATCCAGAGAATAGGGTGGGCACTTTGACGGAGTGGAAATCTTGAAATTCACCCCAAATGAAACTGTGATTAATTCAACAAGGAAATAAAATGACATGGCATGGTAAAGTGTCTTGGTGCATCTGATAATCTGCTGAAATCCTCAAAGCCAGTTGCATTACTTGCTGCTGCAGGTCTATGGGTCTCTATGTGAGTGATAAAGGTCACTTTTGCATGAAATTACAATAATTAATCTGAAAACGAAGATCGTTTAATCATGTGATGACAGATTAATATTCCACGATGGCTGAGATTTTTTGTTGCAGCCATGAGGCTAAGAGTTCATAACGGCCATGTCAGTGATCCGGAGCCAACGGCGCTGAGATCCTGGGTTCAAGCTCTGGGTGTCTCTCTCAGAAGGTCCAAAATGGTTGGGTCAGAGACACTGAGCCAACAATACTGAGATCCTGCGTTACAAGGCCTGGGTCTGGGTGTTTCTCTCTCAGAAGGTTCATAATGGCTGGGTCAAAGAATCAGAGCAAACTCTGCTGAGCTCCTGGGTTCGATCTGTGGGTTTTCGTGTCTCTCAGGGGCTTATAAAGGCAGGGTCAGAGGCTACAACGGGCCTTGCGAGAGATTGAGAACTGAGCTGCATGTACAGCTGAATAGGCCTGACTCAGCTTATAAACTTCTGACCTCCGACTTATCGTATAGCAAGAGGGACGCCGCAGCAGCTGACGGAGTCAGTGTGTTTGTCAGTGCTGGATTATACTAGGAGCTAAATGTTTTCAAGCTATCAATTCCGGTTCCACTTGCTCTATTACTATAGTATTATACTGCCTTCAACTTTTATGAACGATTGGGTGTTTAAGGTTAGCGATTTGTCATTATCTGGCTGTATAGAAAATTAAAAAATACAATTACTTTACTCTGCAAGTTGTTGTGAGCGTCGCTCCTCCGCCCTCTGTTGTTGTTGGAGGGCGACTGCCTCCAACTGCCCAGTAGCAGCAGTAGCATCCAGCACGAGCCTGCTCCTCCACAGAGGCCGCTCCACATCCTCCTGTACCACATCACTCCATCTCTTCTCTAGCCCGTGCCGTGCCCGTTTAGCCCCCTCGATCCGGTCGAACAAAAGCTGTTCCGAGTCTATGGGTCTGAACGCGTTTCCATGCAAGTGTAGGGCCGTTCGCGTACGTCGATGGGTCTCTATGCGAGTCTGGGCCTACACGTGAGTCTGTGGGTCATCTGCACGAGTCTATGGGTCTCTGTGTGAGTCTGTGGGTCATCTGCACGAGTCTATGGGTCTCTGTGTGAGTCTATGGGTCTCTGTGTGAGTTTGTGGGTCTCTGTGTGAGTCTGGGTCTCGAGGCTGTGTGTGGGTCTCGATAGGAGTCTGTGGGTTTGTATAGACGTGTCCCGGTAGTATTTCCCTGGTTATCAAGGTAGAGACCAATAACCCGCCACACTTGAGAACCCAGATTAACCACCACGGTCGAGTCCATTCCTGAATTGGAACCCAGAATCTAAGCGGAGTTCAACACAGCAGTAGTGGGGGGGGGGGAGCATTTCGTCTACCAGTGGGGGGCTGCCGGTCTCTGCCAGTCCATGAGTCTCTGTGCTAGTTTATGGATCTCTGTGCTAATTTAGTTGTCTCTGTGCTAGTTTATGGATCTCTGTGCTAATGTAGTTGTCTCTGTGCTAATTTATGAATCTCTGCGCTCGTGTTTATGAGTCTCTGTGCGAGTCAATGAACGTGCGGGTGGGTGAATGAGAGACGCGATTGCAGCGGCCACCTCTGTACAGCACCACGCTTCGCGTGGCGGGGTAAAGAGTGGTGGTGGGTGCCCTCTCACCCTCTCCCAGGCTGGGCACTTGCCGGCGTGGAAGAGTAGGCCGAGAAATAAAATCACTTCGAGAGATGTTGTCCAGCGCCTGCTCTCCTCGTGCCCGTCTTCCAGCAGTGGCGAGAACGAGCAATTGCAGGGCTACACCTGAACCTCGACACTGGCGATGTTTGTACACGTTCCGTCAGCCACGCGGTCTGCGTCGACCCAGAGCGAGGCCAATGGCCGCTCCCGTTACCCTCACCGACGGCGGCCATGACACCGGAAAAGAACTTGGCCCGCCTGTGACGTCACTCCGCACCTGCGTCACGTGCGCTGCACCAGGCCACGTGTTCTAAACGAGGGTCCTGTGTAAAGACGACCCCCCCCCCGCCATAGCAATGTGGAATTTCCACCACAGGCTCTGCAGGGTTGTAAACAGGCATCGAACCCAGGATGCCCTCGATGTGGCTCGTTCGAGCAGGAACTTTGTGGGTGCCGCTGCACGCGTGGCCTCCCTTAGGTCGACTCAACCTTAAAACGGCTGCACGGAGTGGACATTCAGTGCCAGGCTCACTACCAGTGGCTACTTGGTCTGGGTCAGTGCCAGTGGCTACTTGGTCAGGGTCAGTGCCAGGCTCAGTACCAGTGGCTACTTGGTCAGGGTCAGTGCCAGTGGCTACTTGGTCAGGGTCAGTGCCAGGCTCAGTACCAGTGGCTACTTGGTCAGGGTCAGTACCAGTGGCTACTTGGCCAGGGTCAGAGCCAGGCTCACTACCAGTGGCTACTTGGTCAGTGGCCGGGTGGCTTTGTGTGCTACCCCCCCCCCCCCCCCCCAGGCTGCTGCCTACTGCTATGAGTGACAGCGTTAGACGTCAGCTGCTTGGTTGCGTCTGACTTTCACCGTTGGCCACTGCACCCCGATACAGCAGAGATGCACGTTCACATGGCTCCTCCCAGTGTTGGGTACGGGCAGGTTAGGCTTGATCACAAACGGCCGTCGCAACATTTGCCATTCAAATCGCACAGCTTTATTCCCAGGCTAGAGGCAGTTCAATAAAACAAGAGATAATTCTATATTGAATCCCCTCCCACCACCGCCTCGATCCGCCTGGCAGGGTAGCGCCAGTCAGGCGGCAGGTCGCGTGGGGTGGCGCAAAGTGTGGGTACCTCCCCCACTTCAAAGACGTTTAGACAGCGTGGAAGAATAGGCCAAGCTCCCTCGAGTGGAGGCACCTCCGCCAGCAGTGATGTGAACAGACAACTGCAGGGCTGCACCTTTGCATTTTTATTCAAATGTATGTGCCGTATGTTGGACATCCCCCCCACATAACCGGAAAGCCTCGTCTCCGAATCCGGCATCGAGTGTTTCTGTTGTTGTGGTAAAGCTGTAGATGGGGAAATGGGCAAAGCTCGCCACCCAGCGGCTGTTTCTGGAATCGCTTTAACCCCACCACTGTAATGGATAAACGCGTTTATTCGACAGCCTCGGACTTGATAACCGATGGCAATTCTACGGGGATTTTACACAACTCGAGAAAGGTGCCTGCGCAAGTGGGGCTCGGGATAATAAGGGCGAAACAGAAGTCACGTGTCAGAAGTTTGCTCAACAATTGGAGGCGTTTTATCGGAGGGGCAACGACTGTTAATTTCAGCGTCGCGTTGTGAACGCAGTGTGGTTACTGGAGATGGACTGCGTCCGTAACTGCACCTTACAAACTCCTAAATTATAGAAAGAAAAAAAAAGATGGTAGCACTTTCGCCGGGTCAGGGGTCTCGGCCGGGCGCGAGGAGGAGCGCGTCAGGCGGAGCTGCTGGCGGTGACGAAGGAGCCGCTGTGCGCTTCGCTGTCCTGCGCCTGCTGCGCCTGCTGTGCCTGCTGCTGCGGATGCTGCTGCACGGGTCCCGGGCAGGTGAGGGCGGAGAGACGGGTGGCCGACAGCCCCGGGCAGAGGCCGGCGCACACGACGAGCAGCCGCACCACGCGGCGAGCGGCCGCGAGCACCCCTCTCTCCGTCTACACGCACGCACAGGCAAAGGTCTCCCGTGTAGCCTTCACAGAGCCTTGGGCCAAGTGCGAAAGCCGCCACGGCACACGGAGAGGTGGGTGGCCGGCACCACGCCAGGTCGCCTTTGTCTCCTCGGTGGCAGTGTTTACATACCGCACCCGGTACTCAATTGAGGCTGGGTCGACCTAGGGGAGGCCCACGTTCAAATAACCATCACTGGTGTTGGCCGTGAGCGGGAATCAAACTCGGGTCACCGGGTTACGTAGCGCAGCGCGTTAACCGCTATGCTACCACTCCCCACAATACACAGGCACAAACACACACAATAGACGCATGCAGACAATACAAAGACACACACGAGAGGCATGCAGGTGTAATGCACAGGGAGTGCCTCGTGTGTGCGTGGCGTCACCACCTGCAGGTTGATGTGCAGGAGGCCCGAGTGATGCGCTTCCGCCAGCTTCTGCACCACGTCCAAACCTACCGCCAGCTCGCTCGCCGGCCTGTCTGTCAACAACACCAACCACCATTCAACGTCACCGCCGCCGCCACCACACGGCAAACCCACTCACCACCACTCACACGGCGTAACATTTCACCGGCACCACAGCCTGTCAACAACAACAACCACTCACAGGCGGCAAAACACGGTAAGAGTTCCTGCGTGGGGTGAGTTCACCTGCACGGCGGGTCCGGTACATGAGCAGAACTCTCGAGCGGTTGGGCAGCGCCGAGTTTCCTTGCGGTTTTTGGGCGGCGTTTCGGCGTGTGCCCCGTGCCGTGGAGGAGATACGGTTGAGGGTTCAGTGAAGGAGGAGTCGAGCAAGAGGATGGGTCTGGTTGTAATCACCAGCGAAACGTCACGGTACTCAAATTGTAAATGTTGTGGGTTTACTCTGCTTCGACACACCGGTGTGCTGCAGTAGTAACTAATTGGCACATTTGTCTTACTTGAAATACCTTACTAATTGGCTGTGTCGGGCGGTGGTAGGTTAACGACACATTTTTGTTTACACGCGCCAACCCAAAAAAAAACAACCTTTATTATGTGTAGTGACAGAACGGTCACTACTGTGTTGGCCCGTACGAGGGCTGGGGGCCCCAAGGGGGTGCCTGGGGGGTCACGTGCTGGAGGGATCCGGACCTTCCCAGAGGTGGGGGAAGTGAGGCGTGGCCTGGGAAGTGAGGCGTGGCCTGGGAAGGGAGGCGTGGCCTGGGCGGAGCCGGCCACGCCAGAGAGACGAGATATAAGGGTGGTGTGAAGGCAGAGCAGGGCTGTTCCTGAGAAGAATGAAGACACCTCGTGAAGATGCCAGAAGAGAAGACCTACAGTGAGCGGACTGCCAGCAGCCACCTGGCTGGGTCACGCTGTTGTGTGTTAGCTAGTGTAGGTCGGTGGTCACCACCCTATGTGTAGAGTAAGAGTAACTGTTGAGTAAACGTTGTGTTAATTAATAAATGAGTGTTGCCTCCCAAGAAGTGTGTGCGCCTAAATTGAACCCATTACATTTGGTGTCAGAAGTTGTGGAAAAATAAATATTGCTAGGGAAGTAAAATGGGCACACGAAAAACAAATACAAAACTCATCTGGACGTCTTCGTACGACGGGGATGGTGTGACGACCGTCCTTCGGACAGCCCCGGGGATGGCAGCCCCGGTGACAGAGAGAGAGAGAGATGGCGCTGCACGCGGAGCGGCGGGACTTGCATCACACTGCTGTTTCGCCGCCATCGGGAACGGAGCGACGGAGCCGCGGCGAGAGGACACCATCGTCGCTGCGGGGGAGGCCCGGGCATGCGGGCCACACGGTGGGCCCGCCATTTCGGCGGCTGGTCGGGGCGCTGTTCCCGCCAAAACGCCGTTCCCGCCATTTCGGCGGCTGGTCGGTGCGCTGTTCCCGCCAAAACGCCGCTCCTGCTGCCGAAATGCCGCTCCCGCCGACATCAACGCCTGCAGAGGGGGAGTTCCAGCCTTCTGCTCGAGCGCGTCTTGTGGATGGGGGTTCGCAAAAGCAGGCCATATTCACCATGCAAGATTCTTCGGGCCGTCCCAGTGCTCCACCTTGCCGCCCTCCGATATTCACAGTTGCCAGGCGAGTCGTGACATGACACGAGAAAAATAATAACTTCACCGATCTTGCGTGTGCCGGGTTGCGATCGTGTGTTTTTTTACTCGCTGGGTTGCGGAGCGTGTTCGTCCGGTTGTGTGCGTGAGAAATTGACGCGGCGACCAGTGTTTGTTGTTAATTACGGCGTCGAGATCGGTATCTTCTGGGTGTAGTTAATGATTAATTCGTTGTTGGTGTCCCGAGCTCCGTTGATATCCTGTATGTTGCCGTGTTAATGACTCGTGTTGTTACATCGTTGTGTTGCGAAATCGCCATTGTTATTGTGTATACTGTATGGAGTTTCGCTCGTGATTGTCACTTGTAACTGTCAGAAACTTTGATCGTCATTGTTGCCAATGTACAGACCGTATGGAGCTTTGCTTGAAATTCTTAACAGTGTATGGAATGTTGGGTACTTGCTTGTGATTATTTACTAGGTACGGATTGTCGGAGTATTGATTGTGTGTGTTGCCATGTGGGGACTGGATGGAGCATTGTGCCAAATGATTGACTGTACGAACTTCGTATACTGCATATACTGTATTAATCAATCCGGCGATTCTTGGGGTTTGTGTATAGTTTTTTTGCTCTCAAAATTCGATTGCCCTGAGTCCCATGGTAAATGTTGAAGGGGATTTTGAAATGACAGGTTCGGTTTGTTTCAAACTCACTGGTTGGTTCCTGTCCGTTGTTGCACAGATGATATCTTTTGTGCGGGAATGCTCCTTGTGTTCTACATAGATCAGGGGTGCGTTTCCGTTAATTGCCGTCAAATTGCGTTGCTCTCTCCACTCGGTTGGTACAGCTGCATTGCTGCAATGCGAGTCTCGGAGATGATGTGTACGGATACGGGATGTGAGGTGTATTGTTGTGACCATTGAATATTCGGGATCGTCAAAGAAAAATATTGTGCGTACCTGTTCGGCATTGGATCAGTTATGTGGGGGATCATAATTCAAATTGTATGTGTTGTGATGGTGTTAAATTGCGATGGTGACATGCTGCCAGGGATTTGGAATTGTGCTGCTGGCTGTCACCTATCTTGGGGCGCAGGTCCTGACCAGGATGGCCCAGTGAGTGTTGCGTGTCTAACATGAACGTTGTGGTCCCGTCATGCTATGGCTGACGGCTTGACCTGACAGCCCGGAGATTGAAACACTCCGTGGCATGTCTAGCCTAGTGGGCTGTGCGCTCACATGGCTCGGAGAGTGTGGTCCCGTCATGCTATGGCTGACGGCTTGACCTGACAGCCCGGAGCTTGAAACACTTCGTGGTATGTCTAGCCTAGTGGGGCTGTGCGCTCACATGGCTCGGAGAGTGTGGTCCCGTCATGCTGTGCCTGACGGCTTGACCTGACAGCCCGGAGATTGAAACACTCCGTGGCATGTCTAGCCTAGTGGGCTGTGCGCTCACAATGGCTCGGAGAGTGTGGTCCCGTCATGCAATGGCTGACGGCTTGACCTGACAGCCCGAAGAGCGAAACACTCCGTGGTATGTCTAGCCTAGTGGGCTGTGTGCTCACATGGCTCGGAGTGTGTGGTCCCGTCATGCAATGGCTGACGGCTTGACCTGACAGCCCGGAGAGCGAGACACTCTGTGGCTTGTCTAGCCTTGTGGGCTGTGCGCTCACATGGCTCAGGGAGGGTGGTCCCGTCATGCTATGGCTGACAGCTTGACCTGACGGCTCGGAGGTTGAGACCCTCTGAGGCGCGTTGAAACAGTGGGCTGGAGATTTGTAAGGTTCGGGTGGAGTTGGCCTGTTACGTTGAGACTGTTTCCCTCAGTTGTTAGGGTGCATGTTGTGCAGTGAGGTGAACGATGGGTCGTCTCAGCTCGGTCGGTACAGCTATATGCTGCGATGCGAGTCTGGGAGAGAGACTGGGTCATCTCAGCTCGGTCGGTACAGCTATATGCTGCGATGCGAGTCTTGGAGAGAGACTGGGTTAAAATCCACCGATATGGCCGACGTGTGCTACTGGTTGTGACGCCGCGTCGGAAAGGCGGGTGGGGGGTAACATGGAAATCCCCCCCCCCGATATGGCCGACGCGTGCTACGGTTGTGACGCCACGTCGGAAAGGCGGTGGGGGTGGTAACATGGAAATTCCCCCCCCGATATGGCCGACGCGTGCTACTGGTGTGACGCCACGTCGGAAAGGCGGGGGGGTGCTAACGGGTGACTGTCATTGCATGCGTGATTCTAACGGTGGGGGGGGCTGTGCTGTAGCGTAAGTGGGTTAGCCAGGTTTTCATGTATATTTGTTGTTAATTCCCCGTTTTCTATGCGGTTCCCTTTTACCCTCGTCGATTCTGTATATATTACGTGATTGTAATTTCTTATCGGTCGCCGGTCATTTATTGATGTGCTGGTTCGGAGGCACACCTTTTCGATGTTCACAGTTGTGTTACAGCCGGGGACGGCTGTGTGTTTATACAGGAGGGGGTGATGTAGTGACAGAACGGTCACTACTGTGTTGGCCCGTACGAGGGCTGGGGGCCCCAAGGGGGTGCCTGGGGGGTCACGTGCTGGAGGGATCCGGACCTTCCCAGAGGTGGGGGAAGTGAGGCGTGGCCTGGGAAGTGAGGCGTGGCCTGGGAAGGGAGGCGTGGCCTGGGCGGAGCCGGCCACGCCAGAGAGACGAGATATAAGGGTGGTGTGAAGGCAGAGCAGGGCTGTTCCTGAGAAGAATGAAGACACCTCGTGAAGATGCCAGAAGAGAAGACCTACAGTGAGCGGACTGCCAGCAGCCACCTGGCGGGTCACGCTGGAGAGAGACTAAAATACAATTGTGTGTTAGCTAGCGTAGGTCGGTGGTCACCACCCTATGTGTAGAGTAAGAGTAACTGTTGAGTAAACGTTGTGTTAATTAATAAATGAGTGTTGCCTCCCAAGAAGTGTGTGCGCCTAAATTGAACCCATTACACCTGTATATTTGGAGTTTGCATGTTTTCCCCATTGTTGCGTGGATTTTTCTCCGGCTCCTGAAGTGTTTCCCTCCACATTTAGATGTGTGTTTAGCTTATTTGGCTGCTTTAAATTTCCACATGTTAAACCACTTCGTTGAGCTATCATTTGTGGCAAGGTATATTCTAAAAAAAAAGCTATATAGCTTAGTGGGCTTTACCTGGTAAAATAAGAATAGTTTAAAAAAGGTAAGTCCAAAAAAATGTCACAGTAATTTCTCGCTCAAATGAGCTTTGAGGCATTGGTGCCTCAAAGCTCCAATTTAAAGCCCTGCGCAAGTGGTGGAATTTCCTTATTCTTATGGACAACCACTTTTGACTTGGGTGCTCATTTTATTGACCCCAGAGGATTTGAACTCGTGTCCTTCCAATTGTGAGCCACTCGCTTTGCCACTGAGCCACCTGGGCAGATTAAGGCAAGTAAATGCTTCACAATTTAATGAAACTGATTTTCTTGGCAAGATTAATTTTATTTAAACTGATGCAACCTTTGGGTATAATAATTCTGATTACACATAGCAACTTAGTTCCCCGACTACAATACTACAAAATTTCGATTTAAAGCTTTCGTGACTGCAGGGATTCATCTTCTTGGTTCTTTCGGTAAAGTCACGTAGAAGAGAAGTAATAAAATAATAAAAATAAAACATAATAAAATAATTCTCACGACGTTTCGGCCACAACGCAAGCAGCCGTCCTCAGGTGAAACTAGGTCTGTCGAGGCGACAGACCTACTACTGGCAACTCTACTCATCTGTGAAAAACAGCGCCTTCCTTAAGGTGAGCCTTGTGCTATAAAAATGGTGCCAAATGTACAATGCTCCTGCCAGGAAACCGGAGCGCCACCGCAAATATGTGGTGTCACATACGCACTGCACATCACATGCCAAGTAACACCACAACCTGTGAGTGGAAACTTTGTAAAACCTCCATTTTGTTTGCATCGGTTGCAAATATGACCATCTTTTCAGTTTGTTATTGCCTGTATTTATCCAGCAATGCCTCACTGAGTCTCAACTCTCTTTCAGAAAGGTCCTGCAACATTGGGATGCTTGGCAAACACCAATGACCTTGTTTTATTTTAGCTATGGGAGGAAACTGGAGAACCCAGAGAAAATCCATGCAGTACAAGGGGGAGAACATACAAACTCCACACAGAAAGGCACCCGAGTCGGGAAGAAAAACTCAGGTCCTTGCTGCGAGGCACGAGTGTTACCACTGCGCCACCGCCCTGTCACCCTCGAAGCATTGAGGAGAATGTTGAATTGCTTTCGAATTACGTGATGTTTGTTTTTACCACCTCAGCCTCCCCTTCAAAAACTTTACGAGCCACAAAAGCGGATGACTGTGACAGGACATTGGGAGGGAGGAGAGTGGTGAGGGAGGGGATTGGCGAGGACAAGCAAAAGGAAGAACGGGTGGCCGAGAGCTGTGCGAGAATCTGACCTGCTGAATTAACGGCTCTCTTCTCTCAGTGGCTATACCGCCGTGGGTGACGGAGGTTTCTGAGCTGCCGGGCTGGAAATGCCTGGGCTCCGGCTTGAGGCAGCATGCTCTGTGAGCAGTCTCTCCAGGCATTTCCGGTTGCGCTGATTGCGTGCTGTGTGCCATAGCACACCGTGGCTTTTCAGGAGAGTTCATGACATCCTCCAACATCTGAGTCAGGCTTCCAAAAACAAAGCACATTGGCGGCATTCAGCATATGAGGTATTTAAAACAGTTGTAAACATATGAAAACGTCAACAAAGTTAAAGTGATTTCCTGCTAAAATGAGTATTTAGGTGGTTCTCTTATGCTGTTACGGTCAATGTAGTTGTGGGAATTACACATTGCAATAGTGGAGGAAAGTCTCCCAATTGGACAAACACTGTTTACTCCCCCACAGTGGTACCTACTTTATTGATTCCAGAGTTGATGGACTCTGGACTGAACTCCCCACCAGCATTTAAATTCGCAACCTTGTGATTGCGAGCTGCTCACTAGATTGCTGGGCAACCTGACCGGCCAGCATATAACATATGAAGTAGTAACTTTATGAATTTCTGAAATAAATGTGGTCCTACCCATTGTGTGTCTATGGTGATGTCTTACTTCATTCCCATGGTGTCCAGAAGAAAAGAAAATATCGGTGGAACTGAAGCAGGTGAAGTTGTGGGAAAAGTATGAAGACACTGCTTCCTCTGGGGCCAAAGGAAACCCTGAATGGACATCACAAGGCTCAAATAGCGTTAACAGACACACACCACACACACACTCCACACACACACATCTGCACAACCGAAAATATATTGTTTTGTACATAACCGATCTCAGGCTGTCCAACGGGAATCTGAAGTTCATTGTGAAGAGAATATACGTTTGAGGTAGGTGCGTGGTTCAGGGGTGACAGCACTGAGCCAGCACCACTGAGATCCTAGATTAAAACCTGGGCAGCAGCCTCCGATTAACCCAGGTTCTTGTGTGTAGTCGGTTGATAGTCTCAGCCCGGTTATCATCATCGTCATCAGCCAAGAACAATTCCCTGCAAGGATGAAGGCCTTCCCTGCGATGCAACACTCCATCCAGCACCTGCACATGAACTGATCTGCTTGCTTAATCTCCTTCTGTGGATGTCCTCAAGGATGCATCCACTCCTTCGCAACCATTCCCTTAACATTCTTCATCAATCGTCCATCCCTTCCAGTGATGTGCTCTGTCCAAGCCTGCTTAATTACAGCCTGGCCACCAAGTAAAGTAACGTTTCCTGTACAAGTACAAGAAAAAATCAGACTATATATCCGTTAAGCATGGTCGCCTACCTGTACACTGGCCGGCAGGTTGTGGTGGCTCCTGGCTCGAGGTCCTGTGTGGTGGTGGGGCCGTGAAGAGACGAGGCCCTCACCAGACAGAGAATCTGCTCTGCTGGGCAGGGCTGTGGTGCCAGCTCCTGGCTCCTCTTCCCCAAACTGAAACAGGTTGCGCACTGTGCATCATGACTCCACTCTACACGACACGCAGTAAGTTTACTGTGACGTGGCCCAGCGGGAGCGCGTTCGCCTCTTGTGACAGAGGTTCGTGGATTAAATCCGGCAGTCCCAGTACCGGACACCCTAACAATAATTGAGGACTTAGTCCAACATGGATTGAATTCTGATGTACCTGTGCTGGTTAGGCATTGCCTCACCAACACCTATTTTACCTGGAATGGTACCTTCTACAAACAGAATGAGGGTACCCCTATGGGCTCCCCCTTGTCACCAGTGAAAGCCAACATGTTCATGGAAAAGTTTGAATCAGACGCCATCCAGACATCCACCCTGCGTCCTTCCCTGTGGAAGAGGTATGTGGATGACACTTTCGTCATCTGGCCACATGGCCTCCCAGCATTGAACCACTTCTTGGACCACATCAATTCCAGACACCCATCCATCAGATTCATCATGGAAGTGGAGAAAGATGGTAAACTACCATTCTTGGATATTTTGTTTGAGAGGAGGCCTGACGGATCCTTGGGACATTCTGTGTACAGGAAAGCCACCCACACAGATTCCTACTTGAAACCGGATTCCCACCACCACCCATCTCAAAAGAATTCTCTCATCAAAACGCTATACCACAGAGCCCACTGCATTTCTGACCAACACCACCTGGCTGGTGAATTAAGACATGTACATCGGGCCCTCAGGATGAACGGATACTCTGACCGCACCATACGCCAAGCTGTTTCTCACACCATACAGAAACAGCCACATGAAACTCCGACCAAAACTATCACGTTACCATACATAGCAGGCGTGACCAAAAAGATCTCCAAAATTCTAAACAAACATAAGATCCAAGTCCGATTCAGTACAGTGCATAAAATCCTTGATCTGATTCCATCTGTGAAGGATGTCGTTCCTGACTTACAGTATCCTGGAGTCTACAAATTGAGTTGCAGTTGTGGTGATTGCTACATTGGAGAAACGAAACGTCATGTTTCTGATCGTGTCCGCGAGCACAAGTCAGATCTGAAACACGGCAGAACTGATTCTTCGGCTGTTGCCGATCATTGCTACAACTCTGTGGGCTCTCATGAAATTGTCTTTTCCGAGACCAAAGTGCTCTGCAAACCTCCTGGCTACCATCAAAGGTTTGTACACGAAGCCATACAAATATACAAACACAGACATAATTTCAACCGTGATGAGGGTTACAAACTGAGTAATCATTGGAAAGATGTGATTAACCATGCAAAAAAGATGTAACTACACTTATTTGGACCATCTTATTTGACAGACAACTATTACAGGTTATTGATAGACAGCCAGTTTGTTGTTTTACCAGTTTTAGTTTTTTACTTGCTTTTCTTTTTTCACACTTTTGTTATGTATGCCATGTGTTAGTTACAAACCGCACCTCTCCATAACAAAGGCTCAGTCCTTTGTTATGCAGTCTACTCTTGGTCTTAAGCCTCACCTTACCATATTAATAAAAAGTGTGCCGTTCCTGGCCCTTCCCCCCTCAACCATTATATATACGGGGTAGTATTTCTTGTGTTCTCTCATTTACTTGATACAGCTGTCGTGGCTGTGACGGTTCCACCTGAAGACGGAGGCTTGTGTTGCTTCCGAAACGTCGTGAATTTTTTAATTTGTTTTATTTTACTTTTATTAATTTAAATTTTTTACCTACGTGACTTTACCGAAAAAACCTAAGAGTATGAGTATAACCATAACATACTATTCACCGTCTGCTTCATGCTTAACGTTACAAATCATGTGAGGTCAATCGCAATTGTGTCGGCATCATGGTCCAAATTTGCCAAATTTAAAAAGTCACTTGAAAATGATTCAATGGGAATGTACACAGCAATCATCGCTCCCCACAGAGAAAACTTAGCAAGACTCTGCTATAAATGAGTCTTGATACTAGGTGAGGCTTCCACTGGGTAAACAAGTGTCATAATAATTAATCACGCTCAATGAGAATACATATATTTATTTTGATATCTCTCATATTTCACAAGTAAATTTCAAATCCATGACTCAAATAGATTGATAGAGATGACGATGATGGAGATGATGTGTAAAAGCAACACTTGAAATCATCACACCAAGCTGTGCGTCCCACACCCCAACAACATTACTCCCTGCTGCAATGTGGACGCATTGGTAGTGGAAGTGCTGGCCATGGGTACGTGTGACAAAACAATGTGGCATTGTGCGAGTCACGAGAAGCCTCCAACCTGCACGCGCTCGATGCCATCTTCTCCCTCCCCTTTCGTGTACCGCACCGGCTGATCCCACTGACAAACCAGCAGCTTCTGTTGCTGGCTCCACCGACACACCTGACTGTTACCTGCACTCGTATCAATAACAGAAAGACAGCAAACACTATGTCACCAGATCATTACAGATGGATTTCTCTAGGTCTTGGCAGCACCCAGTGTCGTAAATAACGAGTCAATAGTCAGTGATTTCTTGCTCAAATTAGCACTGAGGCGGTGTTAATCTCTTGTTTGCAGCTCAGAGCAAGTGCAGATAATTCCACATTCCCATGGTAAGAGAGAGTCTATCCATACAGTAACCACTGTTGACTTACCCCCGTAAGTAGTATTAATTTTAACGACCAGAGAAACATGATGAGCTGAATCAACCCCCATCTAGGATTTGATGTCGTAACCTTCCGATTGCGAGCCGCTCGCTCTACCGTTGAGCCACCTGGTTGAGTAGTACCGGAGTGAGTGTCACAGGCTTTATCAGTGCAGGAGTGTGGATACCAGAGTGAGTGTCACAGACTTGATCAGTGCAGGAGTGTGGATATCAGAGTGAGTGTCACAGACATGATCAGTGAGGGAGTGTGGGTAGCAGAGTGAGTGTCACAGGCTTGATCAGTGCAGGAGTGTGGGTAGCAGAGTGAGTGTCACAGACATGATCAGTGAGGGAGTGTGGATACCAGAGTGAGTGTCACAGGCTTGATCAGTGCAGGAGTGTGGGTAGCAGAGTGAGTGTCATAGACTTGATCAGTGCAGGAGTGTGGGTAGCAGAGTGAGTTTCACAGGCTTGATCAGTGCAAGAGTGTGGGTAGCAGAGTGAGTATCATAGACTTGATCAGTGCAAGAGTGTGGGTAGCAGAGTGAGTGTCACAGACTTGATCAGTGCAGGAGTGTGGATATCAGAGTGAGTGTCACAGACATGATCAGTGAGGGAGTGTGGATACCAGAGTGAGTGTCACAGGCTTGATCAGTGCAGGAGTGTGGGTAGCAGAGTGAGTGTCATAGACTTGATCAGTGCAGGAGTGTGGGTAGCAGAGTGAGTTTCACAGGCTTGATCAGTGCAAGAGTGTGGGTAGCAGAGTGAGTATCATAGACTTGATCAGTGCGGGAGTGTGGGTAGCAGAGTGAGTGTCAGACATGATCAGTGCAGGAGTGTGGGTACCGGAGTGAGTGTCGCGGGCTAGATGAGCCTCGTGCAGGATCGTGTGAAGCAGCTGTTGGTCAGCCGGGACTTTGTGCCGCTCCACTTGCTCCTGCAGGTGCACGTACTGCTCGTGCTGCCGCTGGTACTCCTTCAGCTCACTCAACGTCTGCTGCAGGGACCTGTGATAATGAAGCCGCAGAGTGGTGGCGCAGTTGTAAAACTCGTTCCTCACAGCAAGAAGGGCCTGGGTTAGATTTTGCGGCTTGAGCGCCTTTCTACGTGGAGCTTGTATGTTTCCGTGCCTGTTCTGCACGGGTTGTTTGTATGCAAAAGCGCAGGGTAGTGTATGTGTACACATCAGCCAGGACATAGTGTGTGTACACAGCAGAAAGGGGGCTCGTGTGTGTACAGCAGCACTGGATAGGCACCTGTGCTGAGCCTCCAGCTTGCGCTCAAGTCCCTGCTGGCAAAGAACAGCGTGGCGCCTCCTCCCCGCAGCCTCCAGCTCGGGCCGCAGCACGAGCGCCTGCTCGTAGAAGAGCACCGAGTGGTTGTACTCTCCCAGCATCTGCAACACGTGACATCATGCACACGTGGTCATGCATTAAGCTAAAGATCCCCGATATCCTAAACGGGCTGTTGGGGCAAGTGCTGTTCGCGAGCATCTACAAAGGTCAACATGGCACACGAGGGGATGGTGTGGCCTGTATCGCACCTGGCCACCTTTGTCTCCCCAGTGATGTTGTTTTACACATTATAGCAGGAAATCATTTGAGGCTGAGTCGACCTAAAGGAGGCCCAGGACCCAGTCAGATGTATGTATGTTGAACTTCTTTCGCACAGTACATAGCCAACTGTGGTAATCAGAGGTGTGAGGGAATGCCAACAAACACCAAAAACAGTTCTCAAGAAATTAGTTTTCAATATAGATTTAAAAGTGCATAGCTCCAGGGGCTTCCTTATATCGGAAGGAAGAGCATTCCAGACAGCCGCATAAAGCGCATCTGAACGCGTGCAATGCAGTGACCGTCTCTGTTCGATGGCTAGCTAAACACTGTTGTGAGGATGACTGGAGTTCGCGTGATGGTTCATGCTCCTTGACGAAATCAGCGAGGTATTGTGGTTCATTTTGTGGCAAGCACTTTGTGTGTCATGAGCGCAACCTCTGCATCAAGCGGAGAGCCCCTTACTGCTGGGCCACGTCACCGCTCCCAGACAACTGGTTGGTTAGTTCTAGATTTGAAGCTTTCGTGACTGCAAGGATTCATACTCTTTGGTTTTTTCGGTAAAGTCACGTAGGTAAAAAATAAAATAAAATAAATGAAAACAACTCAATTAAATCACGACGTTTGGGGCGCAACACAAGCAGTCTGCATCAGCAGTAGGCCATGCTTTCCCACCTGATGACGGACGCTTGTGTTGCGCCCCAAACGTGATTTAATTGAGTTGTTTTCATTTATTTAATTTTATTTTTTACCTACGTGACTTTACCGAAAAAACCAAAGAGTATGGTTGGTTAGTACAGAGAAGACAACAGCTAGCGGATTGCTACTCACGGCATAGACGTTGCCCAGGGTGTAGTGAACTGTGGCCGGATCGCTGGAGATGGGTAGCGCAGCATGCAGCAGCACGGCGGCATCAGCCGAGTAGTGGGCTCGGTGCAGCACGCTGGCAAGGTTCACCAGCGCCACGTCATGGTGTGGCCTGCACGGGGACAAGGGGGCCCCCGTCAGCACCAAATGACGTACAATCTAATTCCTCATCCTGTGGATCCACACAATTTACCAGACTTCCTGGGAAGTGTTTTGTTTTGGCAGAGAAAGCTGATGAATAATAGCACGATACACCATGCGGCACTAGTAAGAATTATATTTTATAATCTTTCTATGACTTGCAAAGAGAGTTATCGTAAACTGAGCTATCATACAGTTCTACTGTGCAGTCTAAAACCAATATCCTCTCTGTCTCTCTGACCTCTACTTGCTATACAAGCCAGTGCATGAAACATCGCTTGATTTATTTTTCATTTTCAGGCCACAGTGCTGATTGAGGAAGGTGACGAGTTGTTGTAATTTATGCTCGTGCAGCACTGCCTACATGGCAGCATCGCCGGAGAGATTTTGTTTAGCATTGTGATTATTACCTGGGGGACAGGTGCAGGGCTCTCATAGCACACTCGGCCACTTGCGTGGGACTGTTCTTGAGACGCCAGTAGTAAGAGGCCATGTTGTAAAGCACCCAGGATGTCTTGTTCTGGAGCATACATTGTGTGTACAATAGTCTTGTTATAATTGTGAGTCACGCTCTCACCCACACATTCACTTACCCACCCACTCACCCACAAAAATTCCCCATATAGCCTGAACAGACTACTGGGGCAAGTGATAATAGCAAGCACCTATGAAGACACTCACTCACCCACCAACTCCCTTCACTTGTCACCCACTCACTCACACACCAACTCTCTCACATGATCAAACACTCACCCATAGGTTACCCACTTGCTCACTTCACTTGTTGCCCACTCACACACCCACTCATACAATGTCTATAACGCCAACATTTGAAATGCGGTACTCACACAGGAGCCATGAACATACAACTGTAAAATGCTCGATGTCCAAGGCCCGTATTCTTAGTCACAGCTCATTTCAGGCTTGGCGATGGCTCGCTTCAGCTGGCTCAAAGCCACTGCGTTTAACTTGAGCCGGCTCTAAGCACAGTCCCAACGAGGCTCAGGATTCCACTGAGCTGAGCCCAAGTTGAACAATGGCTGAGTCAATCACTCCTGCATCTGTGGAAGCAGCCGAGTGGCTTAAGCCTGAGCCGAGTCACGTTAGAAACTGAGCCAGAGCGGAGCTATGACAAAGAACGTGGCCCCTACATGGCACACACCTGCTGCAACGCCAGGTGAATCAGATGCCCCAGTTCATCGAGGCTGCCGGTCCCATGGGAAGCGGCAATGCTTGGAATACAGGATCCTCTGGGGACAGCAATGGAGCACTCAGATTTCCTCTCTCCTGCACACCCTGCAGAGCACCACACGTGACAATCACTCCACAATGTTAACAGCAAGCACTTTAAAGAATGTACATGAAAACTCCATTACTTGTAGCTACTTGCACATATGGCAGTTGTTGTAATGTAACGGTGAGCATACCAGACTGGCAATCCACCTTCCAGCGAGGCAGTTAAAACAATGGTGCAATTTTCTCATATCTCCCCACAACCTCTGTCCATCCAGCAGTATGCATGGGTTCACCACAGTTAAGTCGGGTGAGGCAGTATAAAAGTGTGGACACGCCCACCTTTTCCAACACGTCTGGTCAACATGGAAAGTATCGACCAAATACAGTACCACCACCTCGAGCTGCCTCTAGGGAAGGCCTTTTTGCCAGCAGGACCGTGAGCAAGCACTTGCAGGGCTTCGCTTCTTATTTGGTGCTCTGCCTTCATGGCAGGTCCTCGGCTGCCATCTTCTCTGTCTTTCTGTTCTCTGCTCACCTCTTCAGCTCCTCCAGCATCCAAATTGTTGGCCTTTCTCTCATTATTTTCCTACTCAACGATCCATCCTCTCCTAAAATGCGTCCAATCCGGTATTCTCTCACCTTCGTTCGTTGATACCATTTAAGATTTCTTCTTCTCAGTGTAGCTATCTGCATCCTCCTCCATATCCATGTTTAAAACACTCCCCACCGTCTCACGCTGTGCTTTGTCAGTGTCCACATTTCCGGCTTCCTGCAAGGCTACGCTCCGCATCATGGTCTTGACTCTCTGCACCATTGCCATATTTGTACAAATGCAGCAAGCGTGTGTTTGCGTGTGCGTTTTATTCGTGAACCTGGTTGTGCCCTACAGCCGTGCAAGAGGGAAATGCATGCGTGTGAGCAGACTGACCCGCAGGTGCTGAAACGCGTGTATGCTGTAGGCGAGCTCCAGGATACGCATGCAGTCCGGACTCAGTAAGTCACCACTTGGCTTGTGCTTTACATCTATGTGATCTTCTGGCCTACACACAACAAAGGTGGTTCATGCAGAGCATCCACACAACGAAAACAGCAGCGATAATGACGTACAAACAGGGTGCCCTGCTGGACATGAACCAACTTCTGCAATGAGCAGCTAATGCACCACCGCCAGGAAGACACCATCCCACAATTGTCGCGAGGTACTCACCGGATGTTCTTGGTCTCAAGGGCGATGTAGGTGCCATGATAGAGATCCAGGTCACCGAGGGGGACGCGGGCATGTGTGCAGGCCGGCTCCTCGGCATAGTGCCGCTCCTCCAGGCGCGTGTCCTTGTCTTCATTCTCCTCGATGTGAATTTTATGCTCCATAAGAACCAGCTGCACCCACGCACAAAACAAAGACCCCCTGTATAGCCTAATAAGACTATTCGAGAAAGTGGGTTACATTTCTGACTTGGGCACCAATGTGTGGAGTTTGTAAGATTCCTAAAAACTACTCAATTGGGAAACAGAATGGAACATCGTCCGTTTCTGTGAAAACTTGGCAGGACCCTCCCTGCAAAAATCTTGAGACTCGTTGCAGTTTTTCTGGATAAACAAGCATTATATCAATAATAAGTACAGTAACCTACATTTCATATACACAGTGAGGAATCGTGTATTTTTGGCAATAAGAAATATTAAAAAGAAATGTTATTACTGGCAATCAAATACACATTTGCAGGCCGGTGCCGAGTCGCCTTGTGCTGCACAAGGACAGCTGCCCTTCGAGTGTTTGAGATGTATGTGACGCAAGGCATTTTGGGGTTTCCGAAGCATTGAGCACCATATAAATGGTAAGATTACTACTGTATAATTACTAAAGCTAGATAGAGCTAGCATGTGCACCTTGGTGATCAGAATAATCGAAAAGAACAGCAAGCGCTTACAACGAGACTCCGTGAAGATGGTGGGGCACTATGAGGGTATCCTGGCCGCCGTGTGCGCCCACCAACCAGAACACTCTCACGAGTTGAGAGCCGCGCGGTTATGAAGATATGTTTCTTACAAGCTACACGTTCTCATAGGTTACACTCGGTCACTGACCTCGAGCTCCTTGAGGGCCTCCAGCCGCGCCTCCTGGCGCATGAACAACACGAGATCATGGGGGTGCTTCAAGTTCAACTGGGAATCCACCTGCTCATGCAGCATACGAGAGATATGACACGGATCAAGACCAAAACATCACAACGGCGGATTATGGGACACACAATACTGACCTCACATATCAACATGGATTATTGGGGTTCTGCTGTACTTTAGGAGCAGCACCGATATAGCTCAGGGTAGGTGGAGACGGGGTAGGTGGAGAAGACGGGGTAGGTGGAGGAGACGGGGTAGGTGGAGGAGACGGGGTAGGTGGAGGAGACGGGGTAGGTGGAGGAGACGGGGTAGGTGGAGGAGACGGGGTAGGTGGAGGAGACGGGTGGAGGAGACGGGGTAGGTGGAGGAGACGGGGTAGGTGGAGGAGACGGGGCGTGGAGGAGACGGGGTAGTGGAGGAGACGGGGTACGTGGAGGAGACGGGGTACGGGAGGAGACGGGGTAGGTGGAGGAGACGGGGTAGGTGGAGGAGACGGGGTAGGTGGAGGAGACGGGGTAGGTGGAGGAGACGGGGTAGGTGGAGGAGACGGGGTAGGTGGAGGAGACGGGGTAGGTGGAGGAGACGGGGTACGTGGAGGAGACGGGGTAGGTGGAGGAGACGGGGTACGTGGAGGAGACGGGGTACGTGGAGGAGACGGGGTAGGTGGAGGAGACGGGGTAGGTGGAGGAGACGGGGTAGGTGGAGGAGACGGGGTAGGTGGAGGAGACGGGGTAGGTGGAGGAGACGGGGTACGTGGAGGAGACGGGGTAGGTGGAGGAGACGGGGTACGTGGAGGAGACGGGGTAGGTGGAGGAGACGGGGTACGTGGAGGAGACGGGGTAGGTGGAGGAGACGGGGGTAGGTGGAGGACGGGGTACGTGGAGGAGACGGGGTACGTGGAGGAGACGGGGTAGGTGGAGGAGACGGGGTAGGTGGAGGAGACGGGGTACGTGGAGGAGACGGGGTAGGTGGAGGAGACGGGGGTAGGTGGAGGAGACGGGGTACGTGGAGGACGGGGTAGGTGGAGGAGACGGGGTACGTGGAGGAGACGGGGTAGGTGGAGACATGTACATGGAGACAGGTAGAGATAGCAGGTGGAGGCAGGAACCCGTGTTAACAGAGGTACGCGGGGACAGGGGACAGGAAGTGGGCCTTACCTGTACCCCTCTGTCTCTCACCTGCTGCTGAATGCGTCCGTCCTCCGTCACGACCCAGTGCGTGGGTGGCCGCGCTCTCGGCCCGGGCAGTGCGAACAACGTCGCCGCGACCCACAGCGCCGCGGCGCCTATGAACCCCTGGGCGCAGATCGGAACTCCGGCTCGGGCTCGAGGCGCCCGGCTCGGCCTCCTCGCGTCCCGCCATGGCGCCTCCTGCTGCTGCGCATGCGCGGTGACGTCGACGCCGCCGCAGCAGCAGCAGCGCGTTGCCAACTCTCCGGGATGGGCGGGAGTCTCTCTCGGGGTCTGGCATCGATCTCCCGGTGATTATTGGAATCCGAGTGATTTAATGATCTTTTAGGTACATTAATTTGTTTTTAATCTCAAGAGTTGCCAACCCACGCGTGGCTTTTCAAGTGTTCCCGTCGGTTTTGTGTTCCCCGGGTGAGAACTCCAGAGACCAGGATGAGTCAATTGCAACCGAAACTCCGACCCACGTAGTCAGCCCATCGATACATTACAGACAAGCCATAGTGCGATCGTGGTCATGCAACCCAAAGCATGGACCGCGTTGTAAACCACAGTGGGACTTGCTCCTTCACACGCGCTGCCTGGAAGCCCTCTCGCGGCCAGTGAGCTGCTATCGCACTAAGCAGAGACAACAATATGCCGAGTGCGCTGCGACTCAGTCTGCTGCCAGCAGGGAGCGACGGTGTCCCAGTGTCCGCTGACAAAGTCTCGTGAAGTGGCAGAGTTTCCTCGCTCCGTCGGTCAGTGCTGCGAGCTTCGCCTGAAGGGCGAGGGCGTGCCAGCAACTCAACACCTTCCTCATTACGAGATACAACAAAGTATGGGCGATGACCCATCATAACAGACTTCCTCTGAAATTAAATGGAAACCCATTTGCACATTATTGACAATTCACATGTTCAAGTTCAAGTTCATTTATTAGGTATAGCCCTGTGAGCCATTCAGCTCTTGAATCGGGTGCAACCGCAACAAACAAAAAACAAAAACATGAACAAAAAACATCTTAAAGTGAATATGTGACTAAGTGCTAACAGAAAATCCAAGAAAAGACAGCAAAAATATTGCAGAAAAAAACACCGTACACCAACGCTGTGTGCAAAAATCCCAGTGGGATGCAAGTCAAACAACAACAACAACCACAAGACAGCTTAGATTAAGGCCATCAGTCTAACTCTGTACTACAACAAACAAACATGGCTAAACCAATACACTTTTCGAAATCACCAAAATAAAGCCATGAAAGCAATGAAAAAGCAATCATGTGAAACCCCTCACTTAATCGGAATGTTTTATTGGTTTTGTACAACATTGCGGGTGCCTTTATAAGTGCGCGTACGCATGAACACGTAAACCAGACGACGTCTCGAGCCTGCCTCTTGTTCACGGGGGGCTCGTGCAGGACGCGTGGCGAGGGGAGACGGCGGTCGAGTCCGTGGGGGAGTCGCAGCCTCGGAGGGGATCTCGCCCGCGGGGACGGCCGCCGCAGCTGCGAGGCGGTGCGAGCGGCTCGCCCTGCGGGCTGGAGGTGCGCGTCTCGCCCTGCGGGGTGGAGGTGCGCGTCTCGCCCTGCGGGGTGGGTGGGTGGGCGCCAGGCCTCTGGGCCATTCAGCAGCGGATAGAGCCTGGGTGGAGATAGCGCCCCGCCCCCCCCTAGTCGTGACGTCACGGGGCTTCCCCGAGGTCACGTGACGTGGGGGCCGAGTCCCCGGATGAAGGAAGCGAGGCACCGGGGGCCGAGGTCGAGTGTCGGAGGGCGACTTCAGGGGGCAGCGTCGCGGTTCAAAGGGCGCCGAGAACCGGGGTCCGAGGTCCCGGTGCAGGTGTCCGAGGTTCGAGCCACCGGGTGCGAGGTATGACAATGAAATTCCTGAGTCCGAGCACCAGGCTCTGACCACCCTGACGACTAAACAGCTGTACCCTAGACCCGAGCTCTGGAGGCCGAGTCGCAGTCGCTTTCGGCAGTGGGGTCCGCGCACCGGCGAGCTCCGAGTAGTAGCGGCGTCCTCGGCCAAGTGACCGGGGCTCCGGTCACTGCCGAGATCCGAGCTCCGGGCTCTGGACAGCCGGTGGGTGTCGCGCTGCGAGCGCGTGGTTTACAGTGTGCTGCAAACAACGTGGCCACATACACATTCGCCCGCATGTATTGCGCTAAACCATTGGAAAGATATTTGATTTGAAGCTTTCGTGACTGCAGGAATTACTCTTTGGTTCTTTCGGTAAAGTCACTTAGAAAGAAAATAAATTAAATAATAAAATACGAAGTTTCGATTGCAACACAAGCAACCGTCATCAGGTAGAACTACATTTGAGAGAGAGACACAGCACAGACACAGACAGACACACAAGCAGAGAGAGACAACACAGACACACAGAGAGACACCAAGCAGAGAGAGACACAGGAGGAGAGACACACCACATAGAACACAGACAGACATACAAGCAGAGAGAGACAACACCAGACACACAGCAGAGAGACACACAGAGTTTCTGTGTGTCTATGTTGTGTCTCCGGTGTCTGTGTTTGTCTCTCTCGCTTGTGTGTCTGTCTGTGTGTCTATGTGTGTGTGTGTCTCTCTCTGTCTGTCTGTATCTCTCTCTGTGTCTCTGTGTGTCTCTCTCTCTGCTTGTGTCTGTGTGTCTCTGTGTCTGTTTTGTCTCTCAAAATGTAGTTCTACCTGATGACGACTGCTTGTGTTGTAATCGAAACGTCGTATTCTATTGTTTAATTTATTTTCTTTCCACGTAACTTTAGCGAAAGAACCAAAGAGCATTGGAAGATATATTTAGATTAATGCGTTACACCATTGGAAGAGTATTATAAAATGTGATGAGTGGCTCATGTGAGGCCCAGAGGCCGCACGGGGCAAGGGCCCCGGCTCGCCTGGCCGCGGCTGCGGGCGCCAGGCGAGGAGGCCGGACCGCGTCGAAGTCACTGGGTGGTTCGTGAGATTTTGCCGTGACCGTGTTTTCCGGCCGCATTGTGTATGTTTATAGGTAGCTGCCGTAATGTAACAGCACACACTGGACTTGCAATCCAGTCGCACCGGTTTAATTCCATCTCCCGGCGCGGCTGTGAACACAATCGGGAAAGTTTACTCCGCCGCCCCTGTGCACCCAGCACAGTGTAAATGGGGTCACCGCAACTTCATTGATCGGCCGTCGCGTGTGATGGGACGAAGAGTGGGGGGTTATGCCCACCTCCTCCAACACGCCTGGTCATTGTGGAAGAGTAAACCCAATACCCCCCCCAGATGTTCCTCTCGTGAACATCCTCGGCGCCGAAATTGGCTTAAGCAATTGCAGGGCTGTACCTTACGTTAAAAAAATTGTATCAATATAAATAACATCACAAACTGTATACGGGGCAGGTTTTTAGACTTCATGGAGGTAACAGGTTTATGTTAAGAAAACAGAGACAGGGACATGTCACTCCTGAAGCTAGTCAGAAATCCACCTTCACATATCTCTCCGCAAAAACATTTACACTTCCCATTGGCCACACGGCCTTCCGGAGAGTTAATATTTCACTCTCCGAAATACCAGCAAACTGTGGGCCAGATTGACATTTATCAGCAAAGTTGGGCTGATGCGAAGAACTTGTATCTATATGTGCGCGCAATGCCTGCGTGCAAATTTCCTGCCGGTTGTGTGTGTGCATACCAGGGTAGAGTGGGGTCTGTGTGATGAGGTCAGCGATGGGAGACTGACTTGCTTTCACCACTCCTGTGATCTTTTGTACTTATGCCTGGTCACAACTTCCCCCTACGTGTACCACTAGGTTCTGTGCAGGCCCCATCCGGGCCGTGGGGCCGCGTGGCACAATGAGCTGTGTGGGTTGGTCACGAAGTGGACGATGAGGCGTGCTGCAGCGCACGGGGATTGCGCACGCCAGGAGACACAACCGATTGTTCAGAGAGCGGTCTTTCCTTCCATTCGGTGTCTGGCGATGACTCGGCCACCGAGGCTCAAGGCTACGAGGCTGACTTTGAGCCGCCCTTGAGAGCAAGTACGAGTGCCCCATCTGCCTGATGGCACTGAGGGAGCCCGTGCAGACTCCCTGCGGACACCGCTTCTGCAGAGCATGCATCCTGCACTCCATGAGGTGCGCTGGGCCTTCCCACATACACTGGACATTCCCACACACATGGCTTCAATAGAGCTGCTCTCAGTGTCATGAAGATGTCGGACCCTGCCAGTTTCAGCCAGGATGTTTTACAGATGATGGGAGGGAAGAGTTATCTGTAAAATGTCATTATTATTACGCTTGTTTACTCAGGAAAGCCTCACATAATCTCAAGACTATTTCAGGAGCGACTTGACAAGTTGCAGTAAGTAGCGATGATGTGATGTGTCATCTCAATTGAGACATTAGCAGGTAATTCTTCAGCTTGGGGATGTTTGGCCAATACCGGTTTCCGTGTGTTTCTTTGTATGTAATGGGAGGAAACTCGGGAACCCAGAGGAAACTCGTGCAGAATAGGAGGAAAATATACACCTCTTCACGGAAAAAGCACCCGATTTGGGAATTGAACCCAGGCAATTCATACTTTGAGGTACAAGTGTTACCACTGCACTACCATCCTGGGCCGCCAAAATATTCCACATTTTCACAAACAGACTATCTACAATTTTTTTACGGAAATTCCACCAACAGGGAATACTAAACAGGTTAAAGAATGGTCAAACAATATTTCTGACCGACACAATGAGGCCTTCATGCAATACGAGATTGTGACAAGCCGCTGAAATGTATGACACCTGCACACACAGCAGCAACAGCAGGTGATATTGCCAACGAATGTTACATGTGTAATGTCAGCGATTTGGAGGACAAGGGTTTCCAGGAGGCACCTTTTTTATTAACACCTACACACTTCACAGGTTCGCCCTCGCACTCTCACTAGTCATCTAGCCGAGCCTAACACAATCCTGACCGTGTAACACTGATGGCAACTGACCGAGACAGCCAACAACTCTCCGGCCGTGTAATATCTAGTGAAGAAGGCGGCGAAGACGACAGCGACGACGAGACGAGTCCACTCCCAGAACCGGCAGCCCTGAGCTCCGGCTCTCAGCTGCTTTTATGCTCCCAGCGCGGCCTGGATCCGCACTGGCCACGCCTCCCTTCTGGAACCCACTAGCAGGTTCCAGGGGCTCCCAGATGGGGTCTTCCAT